GTGGACGTTTAGGTTGGTTCCATATCTTGGCTATTGTAAACAGAGCTGCGATAAACTTGCAAGTGCAGGTATCTCTTCGACATGATGATTTCCATTCCTCTGGATATATACCCAGAAGAGGGATTGCTGGATCATATGGAAGATCTATGTGTAGTTGTTTGGGAAACCTCCAAATTGTCTTCCAAAGTGGTTGTACTAATTTACAGTCCCACCAACAGTGCAGGAGTGTTCCCTTCTCTCCACACCCTCGCCAGCCTTTGTTATTCACCATATTTTTGATCATAGCCAGTCTAACTGGAGTGAGGTGGCATTTCAATGTGGTTTTAATTTGCATTTCCCTGATGACTAGTGATGTTGAGCATTTTTTCATGTATCTGTTGGCCATTTGTATGTCTTCCATTGACAAATGTATATTCAGCTCCTTTGCCCATTTGTTTCATTGGGTCATTTATTTTTTTACTGTGTAATTGCTTGAGTTCTATAGATATTCTGGATATTAGTCCCTTGTTGGTTGCATAGTTGGCAAAAATTTTCTCCCATTCTGTAGATTGTCTTTTCACTCTGTTGATTGTTTCTTTTGCTGTGCAGAAACATTTTAGTTTGATATAGTACTATTTGTTATTTTTTCTTGTGCTTTTGGGCTCATGTTCATAAAGCCTGTGCCCTGACCTAACTGCTGAAGTGTTTCACCTATATTTTCCCTTAGTAATTTTACAGTTTCGGGTCTTATACCTAGGTCTTTAATACATTTTGAGTTGATTTTAGTGTATGGTAAGAGATGTATGTAGTTTCTTTCTTCTGCATATGGATATCCAGTTTTCCCAGCACCACTTGTTGAAGAGGCAGTCTTTTTCCCAACGTAGATTTTTGTTGCCTTTGTCTAATATCAGATGGCTATAGGCCTGAGGAGTGATTTTTGGGTTCTCTATTCTACTTCACTGGTTTGAATGTCTATTTTTATAACAGTACCGTGCTGTTTTGGTTACAACAGCTTTGTAGTATAATTTGAAGTCAGACAGAATTATGCTTCCGGCTTTGTTTTTTTGCTCAGGATTGCTTTGGCTATTCAGGATCTTTTGTTTTTCCATATGAAAGGTAAGATTGTTTTTTCCATTTCTGTGAAGAATGTCATTGGTATTTTGATGGGCATTGAATTGAATCTGTAGATCTCTTTGGGTAGTATAGACATTTTCACAATGTTAATTCTTCTAATCCAAGAGCATGGAATATCTTTCCATCTTCTTGTGCTTTCTTTAATTTCTTTCAGAAGTGGTTTGTAATTCTCATTGTAGAGGTCTTTAACCTTCTTGGTTAAATTGATTCTTAGGTATCATATTTTTTTGGTGACAATTGTAAATGGGCTTACTTTATTTATTTCTCTTTCTGTTAATTCATTATTTGAGTATATAAATGCTACTGATTTGGGGGCATTTATTTTGTATCCTGCAATGTTACTGAAGTTATTAACCAGCTCTAGAAGTTTTTTGATAGAGTCTTTAGGTTTTTCTATATATAGTATCATGTCATCTGCAAATAGGGAAAGTTTGACTTCATCTTCTCCAATCTTGATTCCCTTTATTTCTTTCTCTTGCCCAATTGCTCTAGCTAGTACCTCTAGTACTATGTTGAATAGACGTGGTGAGAGAGGGCTTCCTTGTCTTGTTCCTGTCCTTAAGGGGAAGGCCTTCAATTTTTCCCCATTCAGAGTAATACTGGCAGTGGGTTTGTCATAAATGGCTTTTTATTATGTTAAGATATTTTCCTTCTATACCTAACTTGTTGAGAGTCTTCATCATGAAGGAATGTTGAATTTTGTCAAATGCTTTTTCAGCATCTTTTGAGATAACCATATGGTCTTTGTCCTTGAGCTTGTTGATGTGATGTATCACATTTATTGACTTGCATATGTTGAACCATCTTTGCATCCGTGGGATGAATCCCACTTGATCATAGGGTATAATTTTTTTTTTTTTTTTTTTTGTCTTTTTGTCTTTTTTTCCGTGTCCGGCAACGGATCGCAACCCTCAGTGTTGCCCCCGTACCGGACCGGGGACCGGCAACGGGATCGCAAGCCTCGGCGTTGCTCCCGCGCCTCGCTCAGCCAGTGAGCGGGAACCGGTCTGCATATGGGATCCGAACCCTCGGACGGGAGCGCCACCGCGCTTCCCAAGCGGCGCACTATCCAGTGCGCCACTGGGCCGGCCCGGGTATAATTTTTTTAATATGTTGCTGTATTCTAATTGCTAATATTTTGTTAAGGATTTTAGCATCTAGGTTCATTAAGGATATTGGCCTATAATTTTCTTTTTTTGTTGTGTCTTTATCTGGTTTCGGTATCAGAGTTATGCTGGCCTCATAGAATGGGTGTGGGAGAGTAGAGTCTGTTTCAATTGTTTGGAACAGTTTCATGAGAATTGGTATTAACTCCTCTTTAAAAGTTTGTTAGAATTCAGCTGTAAAGCCATCTGGACCTGGACTTTTTTTTTATTGGAAGATTGCTAATTATTGCTTCAATCTCCATGCTTGTTATCGGTCTGTTCAGGTTTTCTATCTCTTCTTGGTTCAGTCTTGGTAATCTATATGTGTCTAGAAACATATCCATATCTTTCAAATTTTCAAATTTGTTGTCATATAGTTGCTTATAATAGTCTCTAATGATTCTTGTATTTCTATGGTGTCAGTTGTAATGTCTCCCTTTTCATTTCTGATTTTTGTTATTTGGGTCTTCTCTCTCCTTATTTATTTATTTGTTAATCTAGCTAATGGTGGGTCTATTTTGTTTATCTTCTCAAAAAAACAACTTTTAGTTTTGTTGATATTTTCTATTTTGGGGGGGTCTCTATTTCATTTAGTTCTGCTCTGATCTTAATTATTTCTTTCCATATACTGCCTTTAGGTTTGGATTATTGTTGTTTTTCAAGTTCTTTGAGGCATAGCATTAGGTTGCTTATTTGGAGTCTTTCCATTTTTTGATATAAGCATTTACTGCAATAAATTTCCCTCTTAGTACTGCTGTTGCAGTATCCCACAAATTTTGGTGTGATGTATCTTTATTTTCATTAGTTTCTAGAAATTTTTTGATTTCCTGTTTAATTTCTTCTTGGATTCGTAGGTCATTCAGGAGCCTATTATTTATTTTCCATGTATTTGTGTACCTTCCAGCTATTTGCTTATTGTTTATCTCTGGTTTTAGTCCATTGTGGTCTGAAAAGATTGTTGGAATTATTTCAATTTTTTCTAATTTGCTGAGACTAGATTTGTGATCTAATATGTTGTCTATCCTGGAGAATGTCCCGTGAGCTGATGAGAAGAAAGTGTCTTCTTTAGCTGTTGGGTGAAAAGTTCTGTATATATATCTGCCAAGTCCAGTTGGTCTAGGGTGTAGATTAAATTCTGCGTCTCTTTGTTGACTCACTGCCTGGAAGTCCTGTCCCATACTGAGAGATGGGTGTTCAGATCACCCACTATTAATGTATTAGGTCCTATCTCCTTCTTTAGGTCTAAGAGTGTTTGCCTGATATATCTGGGTGCTCCAGTATTGGGTACATACATGTTTATGATTGTTATGTCTTCTAGCTGGATAGTTCCTTTTATCATTATATAATGGCCTTCTTTGTCTTTTTTAATGTTTTTGGCTTAAAGTCTATTTTGTCCAATATAAGAATAGCTACTCCTGCTCGTTTTTGGTTTCCATTAGCGTGGTATATCTTTTCGCATCCCTTCACTTTTAGTCTATGAGTGTCTTTACAGGTGAGGTGGGTCCCTTAAAGACAGCATATACTTGGGTCTGTCTTTCCAATCCAGTTAGTTTGTCTGTGTCTTTTAAATGGGGAGTTTAGTCCATTCACATTTAGAGTAGTTATTGAGAAGTGTTGTTTAATTCCTGGCATTTAATAGCAATGTTTAGGTGGCATTTAAACTGCCTCGTTTAGGTGGTTTAAATGTCTTTTGATCATTCTTTCCCCTTTTATTTCTCTTCCTCAGTGTGAGTTGGGAATTTAAGTCAGAATGATTTAGCTTCTTTCTCTTGCTTGCTGACATTTTTGTTTTAACTGTGGGTTTTGCTCTTTCTTTTGTATTCGTGATGATGGTCACCATTATTCAGATTCCAGATGAATGACTCCCTTGAGAATTTCATGCAGGGCTGGTCATGTGGTGGTGAGCTCCCACAACTTTTGTTTGTCTGGGGAATACACTATTTCTCCCTCGTTTCTGAAGGAGAGCCTTGCTGGGTAAAGAATTCTTGGCTGGGGCCGGCCCGGTGGCGCACTGGATAGTGCGCCGCTTGGGAAGCGCGGCAGCGCTCCCGTCCGAGGGTTCGGATCCCACGTACAGACCGGCTCCCGCTCACTGGCTGAGCGAGGCGCGGGAGCAACGCCGAGGCTTGCGATCCCATCGCCGGTCCCCGGTCCGGTACGGGGGCAACACTGAGGGTTGCGATCCGTTGCCAGACACGGAAAAGTTGAGAAGTCTGCTGTTAATTTGATTGGGGATTCCCCTATAAGTGACCTGATGCTTTTCTCTTGATGCTTGTAGAATTCTCTCTTTGTCTTTGAGCTTTGTGAATTTAACTATAATATGTCTTAGGGAGGATCTTTTGGGGTTGAATCTGTTTGGGGACCTTTGAGCTTCCTGGATCTGAAGGTCTGTATCTCACCCTACACCTGGGAAGTTTTCTGTTACTATTTCCTCGAGTAGATTTTTGATACCTTTTCCCTTCTCCTGCCCTTCAGGAATACCCACAATTTGGATGTTAGAGTGCTTGAGATTGTCTGCTATCTTTCTTAGGTGTTCCTCATTATTTTTAATTCTTTTTTCCTTTTTTTGTGTCTGCCTGAGTTATTTCAAAAAGACTATCTTCAAGCTCTGAAATTCTTTCTTCTGCTTGCTCTACCCGGCTGCTCAAGCTCTCAGTCATGTTTTTTTTTATTTCGTTGAGTGAGTCTTTCATTTCTAGAAGTTCTGTTACACTCTTTTTTATGGTATTAATCTCTTTGTAGATTTCCTCCTTCGTATTCTAGATGTTTTTTCTTGTTTCATTGTGCTCTTTAATTGAGTCTTCCTTTATTTCTTCAAGTTTTCTTAAGATCATTGCTCAAAATTCTTTTTCAGACATTTCAAGGATTCCCTGTTCCATGGAGTCTGACTTTGGGCATTACTGTATCCTTTTGGTGGTGTCATTTCTTCTTGATTGCTTGTACTTCTAGTGTTTTTTTTGCTGATGCTTGGGCATTTGGTAGGTGGTTTGCTTCTTCTATTACATTGAGTATTTTGAATATATCACTCCACTTTCTTCTGGCCTGTAGAGTTTTGGTTGAGAAGTCTGCTGTTAATTTGATTGGGGATTCCCCTATAAGTGACCTGATGCTTTTCTCTTGATGCTTGTAGAATTCTCTCTTTGTCTTTGAGCTTTGTGAATTTAACTATAATATGTCTTAGGGAGGATCTTTTGGGGTTGAATCTGTTTGGGGACCTTTGAGCTTCCTGGATCTGAAGGTCTGTATCTCACCCTACACCTGGGAAGTTTTCTGTTACTATTTCCTCGAGTAGGTTTTTGATACCTTTTCCCTTCTCCTGCCCTTCAGGAATACCCACAATTTGGATGTTAGAGCACTTGAGATTGTCTGCTATCTCTCTTAGGCCTGGGAAGTTTTCTGTTACTATTTCCTCGAGTAGGTTTTTGATACCTTTTCCCTTCTCCTGCCCTTCAGGAATACCCACAATTTGGATGTTAGAGTGCTTGAGATTGTCTGCTATCTTTCTTAGGTGTTCCTCATTATTTTTAATTCTTTTTTCCTTTTTTTGTGTCTGCCTGAGTTATTTCAAAAAGACTATCTTCAAGCTCTGAAATTCTTTCTTCTGCTTGCTCTACCCGGCTGCTCAAGCTCTCAGTCATGTTTTTTTTTATTTCGTTGAGTGAGTCTTTCATTTCTAGAAGTTCTGTTACACTCTTTTTTATGGTATTAATCTCTTTGTAGATTTCCTCCTTCGTATTCTAGATGTTTTTTCTTGTTTCATTGTGCTCTTTAATTGAGTCTTCCTTTATTTCTTCAAGTTTTCTTAAGATCATTGCTCAAAATTCTTTTTCAGACATTTCAAGGATTCCCTGTTCCATGGAGTCTGACTTTGGGCATTACTGTATCCTTTTGGTGGTGTCATTTCTTCTTGATTGCTTGTACTTCTAGTGTTTTTTTTGCTGATGCTTGGGCATTTGGTAGGTGGTTTGCTTCTTCTATTACACTGAGGTTGGCTGTAGAGTGGCCTTGGTTACTACTGTGGGGGATGAACTGTCGTGGCTTGACAGTAGGTGTGGTGATGGTTATGTTAAACCAACTTGGTTCCTGTTCGAGACTCTGTTGTCATAGAATGAGCCCCTAGCACATGGAATTCCGCTGGGCCAAACTTGGTGGGTCAGATCTGTAGGCTGGTGCTCCACCCTGAGTCTGAGGTGGGATGAGGAACCACTTGGAGCCACGCAGTTCCAGTGGCTGGCTGGCACTGGTGGGCTCACCCATGTGGTGCTGGTTCAGGGCGCCCTAGAAATAGTTTAGAAGGAAAATTTTTCATAATAAAAATTAAAACTGGATGAAATTTTTGTTTTAATTTTTGTATGTTATTCTGAATCCAGGGACTATCAACACAATCTTTTCAATATGCCAATTCTATAAATTAATATGCCTAAGAAAGTCAGTATGTATTGTGTCATTTCCATAATTAAACTGAATAAAATGACCTAATGTTCTGGCCCTGTTGGTGAAAGCCTCTTCAGTCTTTAAGCACAATGTCTTTTTCCTCTTTTTCCCTCAGGTCACAGTTCCTGAATCAGTACCTGTGGGGTATTCAGTGTTGACTGTATCAGCCACAGACATAGAAAGCAACGAGAACATTTCTTACAGAATCCTTTCCTCTTCTAAGGAATTCTCCATCGATCCTATGAATGGTGAGTTACTTATAGTGGCTTTAGTGCACGTAGGTTTTAGGTACAGGATGGAAACCTAAAATAATCCTTAACAAATGCTCCTAAAATAGTCCCCACCTCAACTCCCTGGCATCACAGGCACCACCCTATTTCTCTTCATGTCAAATGCTACAGTAGCAAATGCCAGTGTTATTCCTCTTCTCCAACATCTCAGTAGCCAGAAACCAAAAGGCATTGGTTAAATGCTGGTAAATGCTCAGAAATTCAGAGACCCAATAAATACCTATGTCATCTACCCAATCAAGCATAGTTCAGGCAATTATCTCAGGCCTCAACAAGAATCAAAATAATGTTGAAGGGATTACTTCAGTACTGAAGACTTCACATTAGAGAGTTTGGCAGCTTTTTTTTCCAAGCCAAGTACAAAAGAATTAAGTAATAACATAATATGTTCAATAAGGACAAGAATAATCAAAAAAGGAAAATTATTCAAGCATCTCTACTAAGTAAAAAACCATTGTGGTGTTCTGGTTTATTTGATGTCTTCTAAGACTTTTTGGGGTTTTTTTTATCAGAGAGCAAGACATTTGTGGTTGTGAAATGCATTCGGGCAATTGATTCCAGATTAGAATAGTTAAGCAGTGTGTAGAGGAAGTTTAACAGTCAGTGGACACTAAAAACTAAGTTTGAAAAAGGTGAATAATTAGAAAAACAATGTTCCTAGCAGAGCATGCTCTAGAAAAGAACAGGGCTTGGGATGCATTGCACTGTGTGTTCCCCATCTCTACGCACCATGGCTTCATTTCACAAGTGAGAGCTGATTTAAAAATTAACCTGAGGATTACCTGAAAGGAGAATTTAGTCCCCCAATAACAATATGAGACCCACAGAGTTTTATAAACGCAGAAGTAGGTAACTTTGCCCCATAGCCTGTGGACAAATGGCTACTGTATGAATATAAACCTGTCTGGAACTTTCCTTTTCTTCTCTCTCTCCTCTCTCCCCACCCCAACTAGAGTCTCTAGAGACTAGAATATTTTTAAGACATTAAATGTTATCAGGGCAACTTAGTTTGTGGTATGACTCTGAAATGTGGCATTTGAATGTCAGCATTCTGTATTCTTTTTTAGCGACCATACTTAAAATAAATTTATCTTAGAAAAATGTTGTAACATACATATTTATAAAAATTATATATTTCGACATTGAATATAGTAAAATATATTAAATATATTTTATCAATAAAGGAAAAATCAACTTGCCGAATTAACCATGAGCTTTAGGAAAGACATCACTAAAATGAAGCAATAGTTTTGACTCTACATTATCATATTTACTGCTTTCATTTGGCTAAAGTGAGTGTCAACCAGTATTTCCAGAATAAATATCTTTATGCCAGAATATCTCTGTATATATGATTATGGGTGGTAGAATGGGGTATAAATTTACAAACAAAAATACATTTAAAAAAATAGTAATGGAACAACTTACTCTACAAAAATGAAATTCAGAGAAATTTGTGGCAAAGGCACCCTCAAACAGTACACATATTTCCATAGAGTGAATGCCATGAATATTATTTCTGGATCTTAAGTGTTATAAAAATATAAATATAATAACTTTGCTTTTCTATTCAGAGTTATTTTGGGATGTGACTTAAATGACAAATCTAACAAAGAACAAAACACATCAGTAGATACTCAATAGACATTTTCTGAGTAAATGGATCATAAAAGTTTAATTTCACAGTATTGAAGTACTATGTCTTGTATTTCAGGTACAATATTTACTATCAATCCTGTGTTACTTCTGGATAAAATATCAACAATTCGATTTCTTGTGGAAGCCAGTGATGGTGGAATTCCTGACCTGAGAGCTGTAACATTAGTGGAGATAGAAATACAAGATGTGAACAATCATGCCCCTGAGTTCACAGTAGAACACTATAATCTTAGCTTGAGTGAAGATGCTCAGATCGGAAGCACGCTTGTCACATTTTCAACCACTGACCATGACTGGACCCATGAAAACACCTATGTTGAATATTCCATCGTCGGTGGTAATTCACAGAACAATTTCCATGTGGAAACTAGTTTCATTCCTTCAGAATATCCTTACAAGCAAGTTGGTTATCTTGTGTTGTTTCACAGTCTGGACAGAGAAGCCACTGCTAGATATCAGCTTGTCATTCTAGCATCTGACCATGGCTGCCCTCCCTTGAGTTCCACAACCATGGTATCAATAGAAGTAGTCGATGTCAATGACAATCCCCCTGTATTCAGCAGTCTGAAATATCATGCCCATGTCAAGGAAAGCACCCCTCCAGGGAGTCACATCACTGTGGTCTCAGCAAATGACTGTGACCTGGGGTCACATGCAGAAATCATCTACCACATAATCTCTGGAAACGAGAAGGGACATTTTCACTTAGAAGAAAAAACTGGAGTTCTTTATTTGATTAAACCTCTGGATTATGAAGAAATGATAAAATTCACTTTAACTGTCCAAGCTTCAGATGAAGAAAGGAAACATTTTTCTTTTGCAGTTGTGTTTGTCAATGTCCTGGACGACAATGACCATGCACCTCAGTTTATGTTTTCCAGATTCAACTGTGTCGTTCCTGAAAATCTTCCTGTTTCCTCCACCATATGTTCTGTAAATGCTTTGGATTTTGATGCAGGTCCTTATGGAGAATTGACCTATTCTATTTTATCACCCTGTTTTATCACTCATGGAATGCCTTTTGATCATGATCTCTTCCTTATTGACCCTTTAACAGGGGGTATTCGTGCTAAGCAAATACTTGACTATGAAAATGGCAATAAATACTGCTTCATAGTTCAGGCCAAAGACAAAGGTGACTCATCAGCCTCCTTGATGGTTTGGGTGGATATTGAAGGGATAGATGAATTTGAACCCATTTTCACTCAAGATCAATATTTTTTCAACCTTCCCAAAGGGAATAAAGTAAGACAGTTGATTGGCAGAGTGGAAGCCTCAGATGCAGATGCTGGTATTGATGGAGTCATCCTTTACTCTCTCGGAACTTCATCGCCTTTCTTTTCAGTAAATAAAACTAATGGAAATATTTATTTGACTAGAGCCCTTCCCCTAGTAAAAAGTCAAGTCAGCAAAGAAGACACCATTGAAATGAAAATAATCGCTCGCAGCCCCAAACCAGACTCCAAGTTTTCCTCTTGCACTGTTTTTGTGAATGTGTCTTTTTTCTCTGAAGGAAAACACTCAGCAGTATCCACCAGCAGCTTTTCAATCAGCCTCACGGTCTCCTTTTTAGTGTTTCTGTTACTCATCTGCATTTTTATTGTACTGATTTTAAGACATAAACAAAAAGACACAGTAAACAATTATGAGGACAAGAAAACTCCATCATCTTTAGATATCACTTTGAGACTGACCAGGGATGCCAGCATGCTCAAGACCTTCCAGAAAAGTGAGGACTGTGGTAATGAGGCTGTGCTCAAGGACTCCACGCCTGAATGGCTGAGTTTAATAAGTATTATGGAGAAGGACATTGTCAATCTGTATAGGCACTCAAACTCCAGTGGCCACTGTTCTGTGGATGGAGAAACTGCAGAAGATAAGGAAATCCAGAGGATAAATGAGCATCCCTACAGGAAGGACTTGGACTCAGCTCTGAGTGATCGGGAGTCCAGGGTGCCAGACTCTGGAATCCCAAGGGACTCGGACCAGCTCTCTTGCTTGTCTGGGGAAACCGATGTGATGGTCACTGCCGAAACAGCAGAAGCTAGCCATGCCTTAGAGGAAGGAGATCAAGAAGAAGGCTGCAGCACAACCTATATTCAGAATAATGTGTTGCTCCAGACACTTCAGAAGAGAGGGGCAAAAGAGAGCATCCTGGCTGGTGTCAGAACGGAGTCTGTCTGTATTTCAGGTGATCAGGAAGCAAGACATGCAACCCTTTCAACTCAGACAACCTCTGATTATGATGTAAGAGGCAGCTACAACTGGGATAATCTCCTCAGTTGGGAACCTAAGTTCCAACCTCTTGCCTCAGTATTTAATGATATTGCAAAACTAAAGGATGAATATTTACATATGCCTGGCATTCCAAAAGAGAAGAAATCTTTTGTTTTTCCACCACCTTTGATAACAGCAGTGGCCCAGCCTGGGATTAAAGCAGTTCCACCAAGAATGCCAGCCATAACCCCAGGGCAGCTACATCAGAAACACCCACGCTCCCCCATTGTCTACCATCTCGGTTCTCTGCCAGAAGCCATGACTCCCAGTTTTTCTCCATCTCTTTCCCTATTGACCATGCAGACTCCTGCCATGTCTCCACTGTTGTCAGATGGAGAATTATTAGGAACACATGTAAGTGGTACGTGCCATGAACTGAAAGCAGAAGATGAAGTTCAAATATAAAACAATGGTGATGCCAAGCACCTGCTCACCCTTGGTCAACAATGAGTGACCAGAACACTCTCAAGCAAGCTCGAGACTGGGTTCATTCTTATTTCAAATCAAGTGACATTATTTAGTTGGGGTTTTTAAAACCACCTCATTAAAGTTTCTACAATTTCTTCCAGCCTTAATAAGAAGTTATTTCCTCTTTTAACCTTTATGTTTTGCTTTCAGGACTTACATTTGTGTGTATCAAAGTTGTGTGTATTGTCACACCTGGTTTTCTAATTATTAGATTTCCAAAGGACACAGTGAACTTAATTGACTGCCAGAATGTTTGTATGAAAATAAGTGGAAATAAAGTATAGTGCCCTGTGGTCATGTTACTGGTGATTACACTGTTGTATATATATTAGTCAAGGCTGAATAGGGAATGAGTTTAGACAGAAAGTAATGGGGAGGAAAAATCTGGAGGAATAAATTTAAGTTTTAAGAAAAAAATGACAGTCTGTGGATCTGATATATGGAGAGATGCATTTCTCCACTTTCCCCATAGACCACATTTGTGCAGTTTAGCTGTAATTGGAATTTCAATGTGGTGTCTTTTGGAAATCTAACAAGACATTAAGAATAAAATTTTCCATAATTCTGTGCCAACAGGAAGAAACAAATAAGATAATAATTCCTAATTAAATGAACCAGAAATGCATGTCCTGATAGAGCACTGGGATTGATAGTAGCAACTTACATTAAGATAATAATTCCTGATTAAATGAACCAGAAATGCATGTCCTGATAGAGCACTGGGATTGATAGTAGCAACTTACATGGTTGGCTGCCACCGGAGACACGTTTCATGACTTTCTTTTCAAATAGAATGATGATTTTTTTCAATGCTCTGTCCTATAAACATGGTATGGGTACAGACATTAAGCTTCAAAGATTAATTTATAGAAATGTCTTCATTTTATTTTCTTCTAGATACCGTAACTTTTGGTATGAAATAATTTATCCACTCAATGCCAGTTGTTAAAGTTGGTGTAGATAAAGTTTGTGTTATTATCTATTTATTAATTTCATAGAGTAATTTAGCAATATATTTTTAAATGAAGTTTTTTTATATAAATGTTTCTACTATAAAAATTTAAGACAAGAGGTCATCTAGTTAACATTAGATGTCCATTTGCTCGTAGTCATGTTTAGCTTTAACTGTCATTAGATGGAGCAGTTTGGCAACATGGTTAAAATAATTCTGTTTTGTACAGTGACTGTTTCAGAAATATAATAGTATTGTAGGGTGCTCACATATAATGATATGTCCTTCTCTCTGATGAGCCTGAGAATCCATCAAAGATTTTTATCCCTTTCAGGAAGGCAAAGTGCATCATGATGACAATGGTCCAGAAGTCATTTTCCCATGGTAGGCAACATGACCAGGTTCAGTATTGTAGGGTGCTCACATATAATGATATGTCCTTCTCTCTGATGAGCCTGAGAATCCATCAAAGATTCTTATCCCTTTCAGGAAGGCAGAGTGCATCATGATGACAATGGTCCAGAAGTCATTTTCCCATGGTAGGCAACATGACCAGGTTGTAGGATAACAGCTTAGGAATTCTAATGTGATATCTAAAGGGCATCTGGTATGGTTTTCTTAGTAATCCGGGTAGGCTTCTGCTACAGAAATAATTCCTTTATTTTTTTCCATGGGTTCATCTGTGCAATTATGTGAGATAATTTCTCTTTACTGAAATACATTGCAGGGTGCAGTGTTTGGTGTCTAGTTTTGCAGATAAATAATTCTGTGGCTTTTTATGCTGCTAGTATCTATTACATATCTTTGGTGGCTCAAATTGGGAACAAGTGTATCAAACCACATTCGGAATGGTATGAAACATGAAGGTTTCTGGACAAGCCTGGAATCCTAGAGAAGGTCATGAAGGTGTGAAACATTGAAATATTGTAAGACTGATATATGTTTCCCCTTTTCTTCATGGCATCTGGGGAAGAAGGATTCATGACTTTTGTAAAAAATACATTTAATCATTTGTGTTCCAATATTTATTATCTCTTTAACTCTTTTAAAATTGCTTTGAGCATAGGAAGAAATTCTGCACTATTATTTTTCTAATTATGTATGGAAGTTTGGTTTTGCAACACAATTATTTCTGGAAACCAAGAATGTTTTGTCATTTTTAATTCAATAGGTTCTTCATTTACTTATGCTTAAGAAGGGTTATTTATCTAACTCTTTGCTGCGGTATTTGCCTGTGATTTTTCATTCTGGACATGATTCTGCACTTTTTATAGCCATTTCATGAAAATAGAAGACACAAAGTCTTTAGAGCTCCCTATCAATATTTAGAGAATTTTCAGTTGATGACCTTATTAGTACTGTATCCATCACAACACCACCATCAAACAACTGCTACAAGTGGAATTGAGGGTAAAAACGTGATCATGCTGGTTAAATGTTTGCAATAAATCATATTGCAGCCCTTTCAACTAGAGTACTTTTTTCCTAAGTAAACAATATAATTTGTACAGTTTTCCTTCAAGTTTAATATTAACTTGACTCATGTGTTCTGTGTTACTTTGCTGATCTACACACTGGCTTTAGCACTCTGGAGGGGGTACAGAACTTGTTAGTGGAAAATCATATTAAACCCCAAATTCATAAGCTATAAAATAAAAGACAGTTGTCTCATGGAATTTTGGCTGCCTGAAATTCTGGACTTTCTTGTTGGCAGACTTAAAAATACTGGTGTAAATTAGTATCAAATGGATATCAAAATTCCATGTCCTAGTAGTAATCATTGAATTGGCTTCCAAAACAGATTCCTGGGCAAAGAAAGGGGAAAATGCTGTATCTTTATGGATTTGATCATTTAACTGTTTTTTAAAATATTAAAACACTACATACTACTGGCTGCCTACATGTATACACATTTAGTCCATAATAGATGTCCATTTGAGACAGGATTAGTGTTTCTCAGCACCTTTACCTTCAGAACCCTCTTTGCTCTATTTTCTAGAAGATATAGTAATGAAAATTAATTATTAATTTTAATGTTATTTACATACAAACATACACTTTGTAAGTTCAGTTTTGTTTTGCCATTAGACGTATATCTTAACTTTAAGTTAAAAAAGCAAGATATAACTAAGGATCTAAGATGATGATCCACTTTGAAGCAATGGACTATATGGAGTGATTACAGTCAGTGGATTTTCATGTGATATTATGGATAAGGTCACTGGGTTTATTTTCACAGCATGTTTTACTTGAGCTCAAAAGTATACAGCCATCTGTTTGGTCATTACCGAGGAGAGTTAGAATGGAGGATTATTCTGTACAAGAGGAATATCAGGATCAGTGGAGTTGCAGAAGCTCTGCTGAGGACTAAAACCAAGGTCTTCCAGTGTGAGTTTTTGCCCACTACAGAGATGGAAGGAGTGAAGGGACAGGGCAAGGGAAAGAAAGAATGAGGAATGAAAGAGAAAACAGAAGATTAAATCTGAAAAGAAACAGTTTAGGACACAGTTAAAGAGATGAAAGAAGGCAGTTGGGTATGGACTGGTAGAAGGAATTTTCACTGTATGCAGATTTGCTCAGTCACCTGCCCTTCAAAGCATCATCCCTTTGATGGATCACTCTTCTCCTTTCTGTTTCTCTCAAGTCTCTCCATTGTCAGACAATTTAGATTTATCAAGTTGTGAACCTAAAACTAGGTGACAATAAACTAGAATATGTTTGACCATGAAAACTTGCATTCATTGTAATTTTTTTTTAGGTCAATTTCAAAAAGAACATGTAGGAATGATTACCTTACTTTCCATTCTCACTTTGAGAATAATAACTTTGGCATTGAGAGTGCCACAATTTTAAGTAGGTGACTTTGCACATATAACCAAGTAGATGGAAGTTTAGAAAGCAGTTGGGACAGAATATAGAATTTTAGAATCTAGTCTTTTTTCCTGTAGCATGTCCTTTTTTAAAAATGGGTACTTGCTTGATAGCTGTGATTTTATATTAAAATATTAAATTTTATATAACTTTTAAACAATGATATAACCCACTGGGCATAGTTGATAGTTTATTCTCAAACATAGTCAATTTTATTTGAATTCTAGTGACATAACTTATTTTGATTCCATATAGATCAAAGAAATTTATCTATCAGAAATAGAATTATGACAATTGTAGAAAGATCCAGCCCCAGATGGCTGGACTATCAAACTATACCTTTCTCTCATAAACTCAGCACTTGGCTATTTGATGACAATTAGCACTTGCTACTGTTTTGGTCTACACAACTTGACTCATTTCACCCAATGCATTTGCTAAACCAAAACTGTAAAGTGAGTAATAGAGAGGGGAAGGCATGCCAAATAAATAGCAGATGCACAAGTACATCTCTTGAATGAGAAAGCATTATTTTGGTTAGAAAACTAAATAAATGGATTTCATTGTTAGATAGTAAACCCTCAGGGCAAAGGCCTGGTCTCCACTTGTATTATGAAGTACAGATGGTTTTCAGAATGAATGAGTACATGTGTGAATGGGACAGAGGGTGCTATAATGTGAGGGTGTGACACATAGGCCTTGAACTCTTTAGGTAAGAATCCTAACACAGTTATGTGATTTTGGCCAATCTCAGAGCAGAGAGAAAGGAAGTGCAAATATCCTACCAAAGTATTAAAGAATATCTTAGAAAAGACCGAGGATCAGAAATTTCTTCTGCAATCTGGCTTGTTTTCTGTTTCTCTCTCCCTTCCTTACAGTATACACATATATCTTGCGAGTTTTAGACATAGCAGAAACAAGCTATATATGACATTCAAAGCATATTTAGACAGCAACATGACATGACTAAGAACATTGGTTAATTTAATTTCAAATCCTATAATAAACCATGAATGTCCAATGGCTAGCAGAATGAAGTTCTAACAGTATGAGAAAAGAATACAGTTCAGTATGTTTGCATCAAAATTTATTAAAATCTAAAGCAAAAACAGTATGAGGAACTTATGAGAGATATTCTGTATTTGCAAATAGTGTTAAGGGTAACATTTTAAACAAGTACAGTTTATTTTAAAAGTACATAATGAGGAATTAAGGGAGAGGGTAAATATGAAGTCACAGTTATGCACTGCATAATGACATGTCCACCAACAA